GTCAGGGTCAGGAGAGGTACTTCCTGATAGTTGTTGACGACTACTCGTGCTACACTACGGTCTTCCCCTTGTGCACCAAAGGTGAGGTCCTTGATGTTTTGATCCCTTAGATCCGTGCTTCTCGTCTTCAGCTCAGCGAGCGTTTCCACTCGGACTTTCCTGTCATGCGCTTGCACTCGAGCAGAGGTGGTGAGTTCTCCTCCGACCTCTTGGCAGCCTACTGTGCGGAGCACGGCATCCACCAGTCGTTCATGCTTCCGGCCTCTCCACAGCAGAATGGGGTTGCTGAGCGCCACATTGGCCTCATCATGGAGGTCGCTCGTACCTCCTTGATCCATGTGGCTGCCCCCCACTTTCTGTGGCAGTTTGAGGTCCGATACGCTGCGCATCAGCTCAACCTCTGGCCCCGTGTCTCCTTGCCGGAGACCTCCCCGACACTGCGTTGGATGGGAGAGGTTGGCGATGCGTCGCGTTTTCGAGTCTGGGGATCCCGAGATTTTGTTCGCGATACGTCTGCGAACAAGCTCTCCTCCCGCGTTGTTCCGTGTGTCTTCCTAGGCTTTGTTCTGGACGCGTCTGGTTGGCATTTTTACCACCCCACCTCGCGCCGTGTCCTCGCCTCTCAGGACGTCACCATTGGCGAGTCGGTACCCTTCTACCGCCTCTTCCCCTACCAAATTGCCCCACTCCCTCCCCCGCCTCTCTTCCTCGTGCCAGGTGCTGCTGTGGTAGACCCCCTCCCCCCTCAGGTGGCCGCTTCCTCAGGTGTGTCCCAGGTAGACCTGGTTGAGCCTGTCGAGGTAGCTGTCGACTCTCGTCCTGCTCGGGGTGCTGAGCGTGAGCGTGCGGAGCCTGGGGTTGCGGAATCTGGGGGTGCTGAGCCTGGGGGTGCTGTGAGAGTACGACGGCTTATGCCAGCTATGCTTGCTTGCCTTACTTTATCATGCTATTTCTAGCATAGGATAATTATATGCATGCATGAATTGCTTGATTTCCTAGGCTAGGTGCTTTCCTATATTTTATTATAGTTATAGCACCGAGCTAGGTTGCGTGCACCGAATTCTGGCTTTTCGGTTGCCACCGAATTGCCTTCTACCGAATTCGGGAAGGATCTGTTCGGGACGCTTTGCCACCCGCGGAACCTTCGCGTAACACCTGGTTACGGGGCCTTGTGTCGAGCCTATATATAGCCTCGTGTTGTACCCAGGTGATCATTCAATTCGATTCAATTACAATTCTCTTTTCTGAGCTCGATCCTAGATCCTCACAGGTGCGGAGTCTGGGGGTACTGAGCCTGGGGGTGCGGAGTCTGGAGGTACTGAGCCTGGGGGTGCTGAGCTTGGGAGTACGGGGCCTGCTGGTGCTGAGTCTGGGGGTGCTGAGGCTGGGGGTACTGAGCCTGGGGGTGCTACACCTGGAGGAGCTCTCTCCTCACAGCAGCTGCGTGAGTGGTACTTACAGTACTGCAGCCTCAGGAGAGGTGCTTTTGGAGCTAGGAGTGCTGCTGGAGCTGGTGCTCGTGCTTCCTCTCCTAGGCGGGAGCTGCCCTCTCCCCAGCGACTCCGTGAGTGGTACGCACGGCGCTGCAGTCTCAGGAGTGGCGCTCCTAGTGTCGCGGACCCTGCTACTGGTGCTGCAGACCCTGGAGTTGGAGCTGCTGCTGGTGCTGCGGACCCGGGCGTTGGAGCTGCTACTGGTGCTGCAGACCCGGGAGTTGGAGCTGCTGCTGGTGTTGCAGACCCGGGCGTTGGAGCTGCTGCTGGTGCTGCGGACCCTGGAGTTGGTACTGCTGCTGGTGCTGCGGACCCTGGCGTTGGAGCTGCTGCTGGTGCTGCGGACCCGGGCGTTGGAGCTGCTGGAGCAGCTAGTCCCGGAGGTGCTTGTGCTGGAGGTACTGGAGGTGCTGCTAGAGCTGCTGGAGATTCTGGTGCTGTCTCTGCTGCTGCAGGGGGCACCTCACGGCCGCGGCCGTACTTCGTTCCACTCCTTCAGCAGGTTCTTGGTCAGTCGCCTCCGCCTGGTCCCCCACCCTCTGTAGAGTGTCCACCGCCGGCCCAGTCGCAGTCACAGCTACCGCCTGCCTCGCCACTTCCTTGTCCTTCTCCCTACACTGGTCCTACAAGCGGTCTCACAGAGCGTCGTCAGCCTGAGTCTCGTCATGTGTCGCCTCTGTCCCGTCCTGAGTCACCTGTTCGTACTACTTCCACCAGTCGCCGTACTCCACGTGAGCGTCCGCCACTAGTCCCTGGCACACACCGGATGTCCCTGCGTCCCTCCACTGCTCCACAGCGTATCCCTCTGCCGTCTCCTCCTGAGTCCTCTCTTCCTGCTCTTGCTGACCCGGAGTTCGACTCTCTTCATGCTGCCAGTCCTACTATCACGCGTCTCCTGGCCACTGCAGTCACTGACCCTTCGTTTGAATCTGCTGCTGCGTCTGCCCTTGTTGCTGAGCTTGTCGACTTTGCTGCTCGCTATCGTCTAGACTACGCTGCCAGTCTTGTCGCTGAGTCTGAGTCTGTCTGTCCTCCGTGTGTCGGGGGTGAGTGTGCTCTTAGCACGGACGTCCTTGAGGACAGACAGGAGGATCTTGAGTGTCTTGCAGCCGCTGCGCCCCATCTCGTGTCCATGCTAGTTGCCCCTGAGGGAGACCCGGATGCACCAGACATCCCGACTCCACAATCGTACGCTGAGGCGATCGAGGGTCCCTACTCCTCACAGTGGGAGTCAGCCATGGACGCAGAGATGGCTTCCTGGAAGTCCACAGGCACCTACGTCGACGCGGTTCCCCCACCTGGGGCGAACATCGTCAGTGGCATGTGGATTTTCAGGGTGAAGCGGCCGCCTGGTTCTCCGCCTGTCTTCAAGGCTCGTTACGTTGCTCGAGGCTTCAGTCAGCGAGAGGGAGTAGACTTCTTTCAGACCTTCTCCCCCACCCCGAAGATGACCACTCTTTGAGTACTACTGCACGTTGCTGCTCAGCGCGACTACGAGCTTCACTCTCTTAACTTCAGCATAGCTTTCTTGCAGGGCAGTCTGCACGAGGAGATCTGGTTGTGCCGCCCTCCTGGCTTCACTGGGTCGTTTCCTCCTGGTACCCAATGGAGCCTCCGGCGGTCGGTCTACGGTCTCCGCCAGGCGCCACGTGAGTGGCACGACACACTGAGGACTACTCTTGCGGCACTTGGGTTCTCTCCTTCTACTGTTGACCCGTCGCTGTTTCTATGCACCGACACTTCGCTGCCGCCGTTCTACATCCTCGTGTACGTCGACGACTTGGTCTTTGCCACAGCCAACACTGAGTCTCTCGCCCACGTGAAGTCGGAGCTGCAGAAGGGACACACGTGCACAGACCTGGGTGAACTGCACAGCTACCTTGGCTTGCAGATCACCCGGGACAGAGCACGCCGCACCATTACCCTGACTCAGTCACACATGGTGCAGCAGGTCCTTCAGCGCTTCGGCTTCACCTGGTCCTCAACACAGGCCACTCCTCTGGCTACAGGTCACTCACTCTCAGCTCTGCCTTCAGATGAGTCCGTAGAGTCGAGTGGTCCTTACCCAGAGCTAGTTGGTTGCCTCATGTACCTGATGACTTGCACTCGTCCTGACTTAGCATACCCTCTTGGCCTTCTGGCTCGCTACGTGGCTCCTGGTCGGCACCGTAAGGTGCACTGGGAAGCTGCAAAGAGGGTATTGCGCTAGTTGTGCAGTACATCAGGCATGGGGCTCGTGCTTGGAGGAGGGAGCTCAGTTGTTCTCACTGGGCACTCAGACGCTTCTTGGGTTGACGACCAGGCTACTCAGCGGTCGTCACAGGGTTACACCTTCAGCCTTGGCTCTCGTTCAGTTTCGTGGCGCTCTACGCGTTCGTCTTCAGTTCTCAGCTCCAGTTGTGAGGCTGAGATCTACGCCATAGCCATGGCTGCACAGGAGTTATGCTGGCTCACCTACCTGCTGACCGACCTTGGAGAGCGGCCTAGTTCTTCTCCAGTGCTGTACGTCGACAACAAGGCTGCCATTGCCTTATGTGAGGAGCATAGACTGGAGCACAGAACGAAGCACATCGCTCTCCGTTACTTCCTTGCTCGTGAGCTGCAGCAGCGTGGTCAACTTCGTCTGCGTTACGTGGCCTCTCAGGCCAACACCGCTGATATATTCACCGAGGCACTTCAGTCTGGTGATCATCAGCGCTTCTGTACTTTGTTGGGGCTGGTGCCCACTTTGCCTCACTTGTTGTAGGCTTTGCCTGTACTGTGATCTCTAGATATACTCCTGCATGTTTGCTCTGCTAGGCTGAGATCACCTTTGCTGTTTGTACTACTTATATATACTTCTGCATGTGAACTGGCCATGTGGCCCTTTGCTTGTGGTCAGAATGTGTGGTGACGTTGTGATCCACCCTGAGCTTGCTTGCCTTTCCTGACTGGTCTTGTGACCCCTTGCTCTCCCCCACTTTGCCTATGGGGGTGTGTCAAACAATATATGTGTTATATTTGTGTAGGCTACAATGGGTTAGCCTTTAGGGGGTACATCATTCTAGGGTTAGGTACTTGTAATCCCATTCCTTTCTAGTTCAATCACTTCTCTCATTCTAACAGATTCTGCCCCCGTTCTCATGCGCAATTACCACTTCCCAATGTTCCCATGAGCTGGTTTTGCCCCACGTGGGCTGCCCGTTCCCATCCAGTGCTACCCATTCCCATGCAATGTAAATTTGTTCCTGGAACACAAAAACTGCCTCCGAATCACAAACACCGCATGAGGACAAGAAACACCGCTTGCCTCACCCCCTTCACCTACCCCCTTCACCTCTGAGCTACAGCACCTCTCTCACCACTACCTCTCCCTCTTCCTCTCCCCTCCACCTCCCCACTTCTAGCTGTCCTTTTAGCTATCATTCTCGTATGACAAAGCATACCACATACCTTTGCAAATGTCAACTTCGAGTTGGAACCGATGGCGTCAGGGTTTCTCTCCACCATCCACCTCAGCATCTCCACCTAGTTTGACTGCCCTTCCGCAGCTGCAGCCTCGTCCTCCCCCCGCACACACTGCCCCTCGCTTTTTTTCCTGCGCCTTCCTGGTGGAATGCGAGATGATCTGCTCCATGGCACTGGATCTCTGAGGAAGGGTTGGTACAGAGCGGTAAAGGCAAATACCAGCACGCGATTTGCAAGGGCATGAGCTTCCTGCCTCTCCACCTCCAGCGCCCTCTTAGTGGACTGCGATATGATCTGCTCCAGACGACTAAGGGCGAAGAGACACGAACCCACTGAAACGAGGTGAGAGAGTATAAAGAGTATAGGGTATCAAACCAGACAAAAGGATACCACCGCACCCAAACCAGACCAATGGATAGTAAAGCAACCAAACCAGACTAACAGGATAAGTACGGAATCCAAATAAGAGCTAAGAACTATTGAACAGCACCCAAATGAGAGCTAAGGACCATGGCCAGCACCTATATCTGAATCCTCGGATATATAAATCTTTTTTTATACGAATATACAACACCATCGTGCCGTGAAGAAACTCATTACAAAAATCTGATTTTGTTGATCACTAGATGAATAGGTGAAATGGTGCAATAGGAAGAGATTTAGAACGGATAGGAAAAGAACGGATTTAGAAGGGATCACAAGTGAAATGTGCGTTTGTAACAGGACGGAATTTACCATAGCGCCGTAGCCAGTATTCGTTGCCTCAGTGGCTCAAGCATGGCTGAGCGAAATCCGCCTGAGCTTGTGGCCCGCATGAATGAGAAAGCTTGCTTTGTTGCATTTCGAAGTTCACCCTGTAACGTTACGAATGCAAGCATGGCGAATTAGAAATCCATAATGGTATGTATGGCATACGTGTCGATCTGTTCCTGTAACAAACGCATGAATGACGGCTTCGCCTCGTCCTCATAGCATGCATGGCGAACTAGAGAAACTCAAGAAAGCATGCTGTTGACAAATTTCCAGGCACATCCCGCTCTGAGCCTAAAAGCATATAAGCAAAATTTGTGATAACATCACCAAGATTATCGATTAGATCGAAATGTTCTGCCCGTACTAAACCGAACTACAAGGAAGGTAGTCGCTGGTAACAATGATCCTTCGATCCAGCAGAGGAAGTAGTCTTCTGCGAAGTATAAGAGAGTTGGCGGGAAATTATAATACAATGAGGTTTGAACTGGTGGTAATTGTCAGAATATATCTGTAACTGCCTGTAGCTGTAGTTAGTGTAGTTATTATAAACTTTGTTTGGTGGTGCACCTTCTTTGTTTCCTTTGCTATATGTTCTTGCAAACCTATAGTGAAGCCCTCTTTCTCCTTTCCAACTTTCTCGACACTCTCCTCAACCCTAAACTCGATCTCTAAGAACCTAACTAAACTATGGCTCCTAAGCCCACCTATGCTTAGTATCTCAACATGGTATCGAGCAGGTTCCCTCGTGGGAACTGTTCCTAGGGCCCACCGATCCCTTTTTTTTTCTGCCCAGGGCGCGTCCTGCCCCTGCCCGAAGCGCACCTAGGGTCGCGCCCTTCTTAACGGCCCCGTCGCGTCCCCTTAGCGGCCCGTCGCGTCGCCCTTGGCGGCCGGTCGCGCCGCCCTTACGGTCGCGTCGCGCAGCCCTAACGGCCGCGTCGTGCCGCCCTTTCACCAGCGGTCCCGTCGCCGCCCTAGCAGCGGCCCGTCGCCGCCCTTCTCACGGCCCCGCCGTCTCGCTACACGGCCCCGCCACCCTCAACAGCGGCCCGCCGCTCTCAACTGCGGCCCCGCCGCCCTCAACTACTGCGGCCCCGCCGCTCTCAGCTGCGACCCCGCCGCCCTCTGCTGCGGCTCCGCCGCCCTCAACTGCGGCCCCGCCGCCCTCTGCTGCGGCCCCGCCGCCCTCTGCTGCGGCCACGCCGCCCTCAACTGCCGGCCCCGCCGCTCTCACCTACGGCCCCGCCGCTTTCACCTGCGGCCCCGCCGCCCTCTGCTGCGGCCCCGCCGCTCTCACCTGCGGCCCCGCCGCCCTCAACTACTGCGGCCCCGCCGCTCTCAGCTGCGGCCCCGCCGCCCTCTGCTGCGGCCACGCCGCCCTCAACTGCCGGCCACGCCGCTCTCAACCTGCGGCCCCGCCGCTTTCACCTGCGGCCCCGCCGCTTTCACCTGCGGCCCCGCCGCCCTCTGCTGCGGCCGCGCCGCTCTCACCTGCGGCCCCGCCGCTCTCACTGGCGGCTCCGCCGCTCTCATCTGCGGCCCCGTCACCTGCTGCAGCGCCGCCCACCACCCGAGCTGCCCGACCCGACCCACCCAGCCGAGCAGCCGACCGCCGCGCTGCCCTACAGCAGCACCGCCGAGCCGCCCGGGCAACCGAGCAGCCGGATAGCCGAGCCGCCCAACAGCCGAGCAGCCGAGCCGCCCTGCAGACGAGCTGCCCAGCAGCCGAGCCGCCGTACAGTCGAGCCGCCGGGCAGCCGAGCCGCACTCCAGCCGAGCCGCCCAGCCGCCGAGCCGCACTGCTGCCGAGCCGCCGAGCTGCCAGGCAGCCGAGCCGCCAACCGCCGTTGCCGCCCGTTGCTGCCCGTGCCTGTGCTGCCCATTGCCGCCCGTTGCTGCCCGTGCCTGTGCTGCCCGTTGCCGCCCGTTGCTGCCCGTGCCTGTGCTGCCTTTTGCCGCCCGTTGCTGCCCATGCCTGTGCTGCCTGTTGCTGCCCGTGCCTGTGCTGCCTGTTGCCGCCCGTTGCTGCCTGTGCCTGTGCTGCCCGTTGCTGCCTGTTGCTGCCCGTGCCTGTGCTACCCGTTGCCGCCTGTTGCTGCCTGTGCCTGTGCTGCCTGTTGCCGCTCGTTGCTGCCCGAGCCTGTGCTGCCTGTTGCTGCCTGTTGCTGCCTGTTGCTGCCCGTGCCTGTGCTGCCCGTTGCCGCCCGTTGCTGCCCGTGCCTGTGCTGCCTGTTGCCGCCCGTTGCTGCCCGAGCCTGTGCTGCCTGTTGCTGCCTGTTGCCGCCCGTTGCTGCCTGTGCCTGTGCTGCCCGTTGCCGCCCGTTGCTGCCCGTGCCTGTGCTGCCCGTTGCCGCCCGTTGCTGCCCGTGCCTGTGCTGCCCGTTGCCGCCCGTTGCTGCCCGTGCCTGTGCTGCCTGTTGCCGCCCGTTGCTGCCCGTGCCTGTGCTGCCTATTGCTGCCTGTGCCTGTGCTGCCTGTTGCCGCCCGTTGCTGCCTGTGCCTGTGCTGCCCGTTGCTGCCTGTTGCTGCCCGTGCCTGTGCTGCCCATTGCCGCCTGTTGCTGCCCGTGCCTGTGCTGCCTGTTGCCGCTCGTTGCTGCCCGAGCCTGTGCTGCCTGTTGCTGCCCGTGCCTGTGCTGCCCGTTGCCGCCCGTTGCTGCCCGTGCCTGTGCTGCCTGTTGCCGCCCGTTGCTGCCCGAGCCTGTGCTGCCTGTTGCTGCCCGTTGCTGCCCGTGCCTGTGCTGCCCATTGCCGCCCGTTGCTGCCCGTGCCTGTGCTGCCCGTTGCCGCTCTGCTGCTGTTCGCGCCCTTGTGCGCTCTGGTCTGCCTGCGCCCTCGTGCGCTCTGCTGCTGCCCGCGCCCTCATGCGCCCTGCTGCTACCCGCGCCCTCGTGCGCTCTGTTCTGCTCTGTCGCCCCTGCCCCCCCCCCCCCCCCCCCCTTCTTCGTCTCCTTGCTGCGCGTGCAGCCGTGGAACGGAGGCTATGGGGGTGGCGGGTATGGGGGTGATGGGTGTGTGTGATCCCCTTCCCCTCCTCCTCCTTTCTCTCCCACTACTGCAGCTGCCGCTGGGGGGGGGTGGGTGTGAGGGTGTGGGGGAGCTGGGGGAGAGGTGCTAGGGTTGTCAAGGAGTGTGGAAGGGGGAGTTGGAGGACTGAGGAAGGTTCCAGGAAGCAGCCGCCTTGGAGCCATCCAGGGCTGACGCTATCAGAGTAAATAGTCTGATTAGTCTGACGGATCAGACCATCGAGTTTGTGAAAAATGGAATTCCAGAGTAGTCAAATTTTCATCACTGAGAGCCTCAGAGTTATTGTTTTATGGCCCCTGATTCAGTGTAATAGGCCTCAGTGTTAGTCATTTCTGGAGTCTGTCACTACAGAGTATGCGTTCTGTGGTCCCTGCGTGCAAGTTTATCGGGAGGAAGCTTCCTCGAAATTTCCTTTTGATACACCCACCTCCGAGGTTCACTAGTGAGGGTCAAACTGGTGAGTCAAACCCGTCTTGACTGGTCACAGCACCAGCGTCATTAAAAATTCGCGTTGACAAAGCGAATTCGCGCCGTACGGAGCAACGAATTTGCCCAATCACAGCGAAATGGCCCTGACACAGCAGATTTGAGCTGTCAGAGCACAAAGGTCTTGACCAATCACAGTAAAATGTATCTGACATTGCACATTCGCCCTTTCACAGAACAGATTCGCCATCAAAGTTCAGTTTCGATAATGCACAGCGCGTTACTACACGTACCGTATCCCCCCGGATATACCCCCATGGGGGGCAATAATAAAACAGGTTTTTTCATGGGGGTGGGCTTATAATCGAGTAAATTTATAAGCGCCGGCGTTTATAAAATGACATACATATTTTTTATATCTTTTAACACCAAACTGTAGGTCTCGTGCTTGCCTTTTCAATCGAGTCGAAGTTACATGGGATCGTCTGTGAAATTCTCGCGCGCGCTGGGAGATACACCCAATCTGACTCACATCCAGCTCCTGATAGGTCCTGCTGACTGGACCCGCATCCAGTGCAGGGTCCGAATGTGAAGGGAACCGAATCTGCAACATATCCGCCTGCTAAAGTAAAAATCGTTACAGCTTTTTGAACACATTTCAAATTTTAAAGTTTACGTGCGCTTATAATAAAACAAGTTTTTTCAAGGGGTGCGCTTATAATCGAGGAGGGGATATAAGCGCCATATGCCAATTAGAAGCGCTAGGCGCTTATCCTAGGGTGGCGCTTATATCCGGGGGGAGACGGTACCCTGATCGTGACTTCTCGACCCTGAACACTCAGACTGTATAACTTCCCAACACTGAGCAATCAGGGTGCTGCTTTTCTGGAAAATATGCCTTCAGGGTTAAATTTTTTTTTTTGGTGGACATCAGGGTACCTAAATTTGAAACGTCAGCCCTGGAGCCATCAGCTTCACCTGCCAGCAGCCTCTCCTCATATAGTCCCTCCTCCTCACTTGCCCTCTCCTTCTGCTGCGCTTGGTGTACCTCTTCAGGGGGTGTCTCTGCATTAGCTTCTGCTGCAGACAGTTATGGGGGAGTGTCAGAATATATCTGTAACTGCCTGTAGCTATAGTTAGTGTAGTTATTATAAACTTTGTTTGGTGATGCACCTTCTTTGTTTTCTTTGCTATATGTTCTTGCAAACCTATAGTGAAGCCCTCTTTCTCCTTTCCAACTTTCTCGACACTCTCCTCAACCCTAAACTCGATCTCTAAGAACCTAACTAAACTATGGCTGCTAAGCCCACCTATGCTTAGTATCTCAACAGTAATGAATATGAATTCATTACTGTATAGGCTGCTCCTAGCGAGGACAGCCCCGAGCACTTCGCGTTAGTGCGGCTCGGCCTACACTTTTGCACCGAACCAGTTCCGAGTCGCCCCGCACCAATCGCGACACGACACATCCAACCCTCGCACGTCACGAGGTTATCGCCTAGCACGTATTCGCCCTATAAATGCTCGCTTTATTCATTGTCTCGTCATTCTGTAATTCATCCTTTTTATTAAGTCGTCCACACACTCAGTTTAGTACAACTCATAACAGCGGTGTTGCACAAGAGATGGTGCAGTACGCCTTATACCAAACCCGTAAGGGTGCGTAGTGTTGGGGAACAGCGGAAGTATTGCACTGAAATAAGTGCATCTGCTAGTACTTATTCGAAACGAAAGCTGTTGACACGTGCTCCACGTGATCCTTGGGGATTTCGGGCGGGTCTGGGGACCAATTAGTGAGCAGCAACAAGTTAGGCGGGGTCACTTTCCCGCAGAGATTCCCACCAACTTCCGAAGTCTTGGGGCACTCGGGCTGGGGGCCCGGGGCATTCCCACAGCCGTGTTCGGGTCAGGTCAGGAATGTGGGTGGAGAAAAAACGTCAAGTAGAACCGTTTGGGAAAATGAAATCAAAGCCATTCAGTCCTGCTCACCATATTAACCATTTCGTTCTCTCTCAGGCGGACGTTGAACAAAGCGCAAAGCGGTCTCAACGGTGAAATCTCGGTTTGCTGAACACGCCTTCGAGCTTACCGCTCATCACGGATGTCAATCTCCCTCCCTGCCTATCTACCATCCATCAGTCTCTCATTATTCCTTGGCCAGCAGCATCCCTCTTCTATTCGAGTTTTACAATTCCTAGCTCAGTGTTGGAAATGAATGCAGTATCGTTTTGGTCTAAGCGATGACAGGGCTAGTGAGCACACAGGAGCCGCATGTGACTCAGCCGTGTCGCTGACCCGATCTGATCGCTCGACCACAGAAGTGAGGTAGCAGGTGCTCTCGCGCGCAACTAGCCCCTTGCATCCGAAGATCGCCGCCGCGAAAGCAGCAGGCGGCTCCGGAATTGATCCGAATTGCGCTGCAATATTCTTACATTTTCTAGTGTTCTCGTGGATCTAGGGAGCCACATTGGACTTCAGGAGCTGGATTCGTAAGCGTTCATAAACTCTCGTGGAGGGACCTCGGCTCCCTCATGGCGTCGAACAGCAGAAAGAGTCTCGAGGTACGCTTGTGTGTCTGGTGGAAAAATGCGTCGACAATTATGCATCCACATGGTTTTCTCTCTCGAGGTACGCTTGTGTGTCTGCTGGAAAGCTGTATCTGTGTAAGGATGCGCGCATTGTTGTGTGTCCAGTTCTCGTCCTTCATCCTCGCCTGGAAGAATTGCCTATGCTGTGCGGTTAAATTGACAATAGATTTTTCCACTCAATTTATGGCGTCTGAAGTGTGTTATCGAATCCAAAATGGTTTGTCGCACTTACGCGTTTACGTCGACGAAGAAGTGCATTGAAACGACGAATCACATTGTCGGCTGGACGTCCTTAGGAGGGTTCCGATCGCCGATGGTACGAACACGCGAATGTATCGCCCGCCGATGGTAGTTCCACGAAGTGAACAGAATCTGCGTCCATATTATCCCCCAGCATCCGTGTCTCTCCTCCACTTCAATTACGCGCTCGCACAATCGGGTCTCCTGGTGTTGATTGCACCCGTTCAGCAGCTGCCGGGTGCTGTTAGAACCAGCCCTTTCAGAAGCACAGTTACATAGTGAATCTGCCACACCGAAATACAAGGGGTATAAAACTCTATTATACGACATTTGTAAGAATGTAACCTTTTTCGTTCTCTCTGCTCCTTTCCCTGATCCGCCTTTCTCTAATCGTGACCTCCACGTGGCAGTTGGTGGACATCTCCCACCACGAATTGGACGACGATCATGAGGAGCACTCGCTGCTCAGCGACAGGTGCGTGGTTGAGATCGGTTGGGAGGGGTGTTGGAGGGTTTCAAGACGCCGCGTCTCAGTGACACGTGGGTGGTGAAGATTGGTTTGGAGGGTTGGTGGAGGGTTTGAGACGCCGCGTTTCAGTGACGGGTGGGTGGCGGGTTTTAGACGTCTCAGAACCTGCGTACTTACAGGTGATTGGTGGGTGAACAGTGAACTTCATCACAGCGTCTCAGTCCCTGAATGAGCTCTCGCTGCTTGGTTGGCTGGCTGACACGGGTAAGGGGAGAGGGAGGAGGGGAGAAGGGGGAGGGGGGAAGGGGGAGGGGGAAGGGGAGAAAGGGAGGGGAGAAGGGGGAGGGGGGAAGGGAGAGGGGAGAGGGGGAAAGGGGGAGGGGGGAGGGGAGAGTGGGGAAGGGCGAGGGGGGAGGGGAGAGGGGGGAAGGGGGAGAGGAGAGGGGAGATGGGGGGGAAGGGAAAGGAGGGGGTAAAAGGTAAGAGGGGATGGTGTCAGAAGGGAAGGAAGGGAGTGAGGAGAAAAGGGGGTGAGGGTTGGAGGAGTAGCCTTTCTGTGCTGATTATGGGATGAGTTTCCCAGTCACCCCACAAAGGGCCCCCTGCTCTCCCTTCCACCCAGCCATTCCCCAGCAAACTGCACGAGTCCCGTGGGAGGGACTCGGGTGAGGGGCTGGGCAAGGCGCTTCTGACGTTAATCCGAGTTTACTTTTGTCGTGCGGTGTTTTGTCACGGACTTGGATGAGCGGGTGGGCAAGCTGTGTCTGCCTAGGGCCAGTGGGCTGGTGGGCCGGTGGGCCGGTGGGCCGGTGGACAGGTGGACCACCGGTGGAACGGTGGATTGGTGGACAACCAATGCCTGCCCTCGCATCTCCCCCCCTCCTTCAAATGAGACGATTTTATAGGCGCCTAAAAAATCGTCTCATGATTTGGATGAGCGGGTGGGTGGGCAAGCTACGTCTGCCTAAGGCCGGTGGACAACCAATGCATGCCCTCATA